CAACAGGACATGGTGAGCGACTCGACTGGTGTGTGCAGGGAATGGTGGGGTTGGGGATGGATGAGACAAAGGGAGGACTGGCTCGCAGATTCCGGCTTGGGCCACTGCATGAATGGGGGTGTCACTGTGGGAGGAGGAGGAGAAGGAAGGAACTGTATTTGGCTGATAGTTAGAGACCTGTCTGCAGTGGCTTCAACACCATGGTTTGTTCTCCTGTAAAAGACATCCAGAAGAGGGGCGCCTGGGTGGCTCAGTCGGTTAACCGTCTGACTCTTGATTTCGGCTCAGGTCATGATCTCAGGGTCGTGAGATCAAGCCCCACATCGGGCTCCATGCTGGGCATGGAGCCTGCTTGGGACTCTCTCTCTCCCTCTACCCCTGCCCCCCACTGTCTCTCCCCCTCTTAAAAAAAAAAAAAAACGTGGTTCATGGCCATGACCGGGACCCAAGGACAGTGATGGCGAAAGCTCTGTAATTCTTGTGGCCTTTCCTTCCCGGTCCCAGGATGGCTGCCAGTCCTCCAATCATCACGTCCGTTTTCCCAAAAAGCAGGAAGGAATAAGACTAGAAGAGTAAAAAGGCCTTCCCTTGGAAGCCTCATCCAAAAACTTCTATCCCTTTTACTTGGCAAAAGTGAAGTCACATTCAGAATCTTACGGGTCTTGGGGGGGCGGGGCAGGCACTGGACTATACACCCTAACTTTGCAGATGCCAGTATACAGGCAGGTATAAAAGAGGAGTGTCTGGTGGTGCTGGGTCAGCCCATCTGCAGTATTTCCTTACTAGAGAAATGAGGAGTTTGGCCTTGGTCATGTTGGATCTGAGACAGAACATCAAGTGAAGAGGTAGAGTAGGCAGTTAGATATACAGTTCTGGGTACAGGAGAGAAACGTAGGCAGATCTAGATTTTGTGAGTCACCAGCACGTAAGTGTAACTGACGCCATGAAAAGTTGTGAGAACGTCCAAGGAGAGTATAAAGAGAGAGGGGGTAAGATCCAGGTCAGAACCCAGGGGAATACCAACATTTAAGGGGCAGGCGGCAGAAGAATCCAGAAGACTGAGAAAGCCAAAGAAGTACGAGAATCTCCAGAGCAGCTTCACAGAACTCAAGGAAGGAGAGCATCAAGGGAGGCAGGGTCAACAGACAGACAGAAAAGCACTGGATTTGCAACAGTGGGACTGCTGGATGGGAAAGGGGGCCCGGGGAACAACAGTGTCAAAAGAGAGGCACTTTAGAATGGAAGGCTTGGAGGGGGACCGTGATGGGCTCCAGGGCATATGTACACTTTTTTTTTTTTTTTTAAAGATTTTGTTTATTTGGCAGAGAGAGAGGGAACACAAGCAGGGGGAGTGGGAGAGGGAGAAGCAGGCTTCCCGTGGAGCAGAGAGCCCGATGCAGGGCTCGATCCCAGGACCCTGAGATCATGACCTGAGCCGAAGGCAGACGCTTAACGACTGAGCCACCCAGGCGCCCCCCCCCCCTTTTTTTTTTAAAGTAGGCTCCATGCATGTAGCCCAACACAGGGCTCAAACTCACGGCCCTGAGACCAAGACCTGAGCTGAGATCAAGAGCCAGACACTCAACCGACTGAGCCCCCCCAACAGGCCCCTGGGATCCTGGGCATATGGCGTGCAGACTGCACGTGTTCCGCAACTGGTGCTCTCACACACAGCTGGCTAAGGAGGGAGAATGGGCCGAAATGCCCCCAGGGGAGCACACCAGAGTGGGCCACTGGACAGACTGCTCATGATTAGAGCAGGAATGACGTCAACTGGGGGGAGGGGTGGGAAGGGAAGTTTACCCTGCCTTGTTGGTAAACTCTTGAGAACGCTCTGGCCCAACAGAGTCACTTGGCCAGAGGCCAAGAGCCTGGGCAATACCTGGCCCTAAGGCTAGGTCCCAAAGCTGGCTCGCTTCCAGGAACAGGCTGGTTCGATGCCGGGGTTTCTACTTCAGACTAAAGCCACTCCGTTTTCTGGCCTCTGGGTGAGGGCATCTGCCTTTTAGTGCCATGGGGGCCTGTGGCCTGCTGTGTTCTTAGATCGGTTTCAATATATAGTAATACTATTATAATTACTATATGTAACTATGATATATATATAATAAACACATCATAAATATCTTAGTGATCTTAAAGAGAGCGAGAGCGAGTGAGCTCAAGCAGGGGGAACAGCAGAGGGAAAGGGAGAAGCAGACTCCCCCGCTGAGCAGGGATCCCGATGTGAGGCTCGATCCCAGGACCCCAGGATCATGATCTGAGCTGAAGGCAGACGCTTAACAGACTAAGCCACCCAGGCACAGTTGGCAATTTTCAAAATCAGAAAACTAAATAAGGGTTAATGGAGGGAGAAAAAGCATAAGACAACGGGTTAGCTTTAGATAGGGCATCTTACTTGTCAACCTTCCTATTTACCATAATGGAGTATTTTCCATGTTTCCCGAAGGGCATTCCTTTGTAGATTTCATCAATTTTATAATCTGGTTGTATTATTGGCCTCGAGTTGTATCTGGTATATAACCAATTTCCTCTTCAGCTGCACAGTTCTAGAAGCCCAGTTGTCACAATGGTGCTCGAGGCCTGATTTGCTATTGAATGTCACCTAGCGGTACTTCCTTTCGTTACTGTGGGCTGACAACAGTTTGGTTTCTTAAATTAACATAGCAAGATGTCAGCCTGTCGCTTTTCCCAGCTCAACGCTAGAATACAAGCTCCATACAGGCAGGGTTCTTTGCTTGTTGACTGGTTGTACGGGGTTGGATGGTATCCCTTAAAAAGTCATGTCCTTCCAGGAACCTCAGAATGTGACCTTATTTGGAAAGAGGGTCCTTGCAGATATAATTAGTTACAATGAGGTCATGTAGATGAGCAGAATGTGCCCTTAATCCAATGTGACTGGTGTCCCTATAAAAAGAAGAGAAGAAAAACAAGAGACCGAGACACAGGGAGAAGGCCATGTGTTGATACAAAGACTTAAGTGTTGCATCTACAAGCCAAGAAATGCCAAGGATTGCACGCCTGCGTGGCTCAGTTGGCTAAGCGTCTGCCTTCGGCTCAGGTCATGGTCCCAGGATCCTGGGATCAAGCCCCGCATCGAGCTCCTGCTCAGCGGGAAGCCTGCTTCTCCCTCTCCCACTCCCCCTGCTTGTGTTCCCTCTCTCGCTGTCTCTCTCTGTCAAATAAATAAATAAAAT